CTCGATGTAATAATTGAGTGTTCCGCCTACTGAGAGGCGTTGACAATTTAATAGTTTTAAAATCTTTGTATTATTCATTCCTTTCCAGTTGTTAAACAATCTTTCTAACATTTTACGCCAATAGAACATTTATCGACATTAAAATTTTCAAGAATTTACTGTTCACACTATTTATATACCGAATTATTGTAGGAGCCCAGCGTGAGTTATAATAACTCACTATTATAACTCACGCTATTTGTTTATTGATACTATTAATTGCTCAAAAGCACTTGGATATTAATATATAAATTAATAGGAGTAGATAAAATACCATTTTTCTATTCTTCTATCCTGTCAGTATACGTGTTGATTGGTTAAGTGTCAACTCAACGACAGACATCGTTCTGTATATGCACAATGCACATGGACGAATACGAATTTTTATGTTTGGCTTAAATTTTTTCTTTTGAAGGGGAGAAAAGGACACGATGCCAAAAAAACCCTATCGTGGAAAACTCAGGTTAGGTTAGAAAACCCCTGCCGGTCGGAGCTAGGCTCTATCCGGTAGGGGGGCCAACCCAGCCTACCTACAAGTAGGATAGACGGTATAGGCAATAAGTAAAAATCTTTTTTGTGTAAATATCATAAATGTTTACGAAGAATAGAATCAGTTTCGTCTAGCGACATCTGTAAAATTTATTAGTAACAATATTATATCTAATATAGTTGTCTGTAAACTAAGGTCCGTATCATAGTCCGTATCATTGTATCATAGATTACTAATGTGAATAGATGGGAAACTCAATGGTAATATTCTGAGTCGATGTGCTGCCATCTATCGAATTGGAGTGGTACTAAAATTCAATATGGCCGCTTAGCGCGGGCTTTTTGAAATTTAACTTTCTGCTAGTCGCGCAAAAATATAATGCGAAGAAAATCAAACAAAAAAAATAAATTGGCAAAATATTTGACTAGTTTCAAATCATAAAACAACCATATTGACTGTTTTGTGATTTGAAACTAGTCAAATATTTTGCCAATTTATTTTTTTTTTGTTTGATTTTCTTCATTATATTTTTGCATTAATTTCAAACTTGAAATAAAATGCAATTTATTTTATTTATTTTTTTTATTACAGTAAATTAACCCGCATCATATAATTTGTCTATTTAAACAGGGAAATAGGTTTTCTGTAACAAACTCGACATATTTAAGTGCTCAAGACCAATATAACAGTTTTGCAACTTGGAGTGGCAATAAGTTTGAAAAAACTGAAGCATCATCCTTTTGGTGTCTTACAATCAAGGCGAATTTGAGGGTGAATAAAATTTGCCATAGGCTTATTGAGTCGACTAGTTATGTTTTTTGTGTTAGGTATTACTTTAGCATACAAATATAATAATTCCAACAATCCAGCACTCGATATTGTTTTTGAACAAAAAATGAGCCTGGTCCGAGCTGGTGCCGCTACAAATATCCGCTAAGCTAGCGGATCCGCGCTTTTCTCAGGTTCAGTACAAGCTACAAAAGGGAGACTAGCGTAACAAAAAAGCTACAAAAAAGTTACGAAAAACCAGCTGGGTCTGAATTTGTGCCGCTACTATGGAATTTATGGAAATTCAAGCTAGCGGATCCGCTATTTTTTCGGACCTGGGCAAAGCTACAAATTCGCAAATAGCGTAACAAAAAAGCTACAAAAAACCCACCAGGTCTTGTATGGTGCCGCCACATAGTGCCCGCTAGCTTGATATAGCCTTTAAAAATTATGTTTTAATAATTTCAATGACCCCTGTGTTATTCTTATGGACATTAATGACAGTTGACTGTTTAGTTCTTCTGTTGGCATCAGTATCTCCCTTATCTCTGGTTGGCATTTAGTGCTATGACATGGCTGTGACCTTCCCTTACATAAAAAAACAAGACCTTCCTCAACCTGTGACGTTCACATTACACACGTGTATTACCACAGACCATACCCTTTAAAGATGGGCCACTCAACAGTGAAAAATTTTACTCATCTTTCAGCGCCATCCGTAGCGGTTGCAAATAGTTGAGTTAAAAAAAAAGAAGATAACTAATAATTGAAAATTTGTTCAAGATTTATTTTATAGATGGCGGTAGGGGTCAATGAGCGCGGGTTTTTCAAACTCGGCCTTTCTAATAAACCACTACTAAGTTTTCAAAATTATAATTTTTCGTTCTTTTTTACTTAAAATGATTCAAACATTTTATTCTTCACTCAACATACTTAGATGGATATAATCCATTGGGTTATGTTCTGTGATAGATAAAATTTGAAATATTTTAAGTCAAAAAGAAAACGAAAAATTATAATTTTGGATTTATGGAACAAAAAATACATCTTATTATGAAGTAAAACACGATTATAACCATATATTTTTTATTATTAGAATTAAAATTGCACGAATTCTTATTACAGTACACAATAATAAAGAAATATGAATATAAAACTATTGCGAAGTTCACCCATGGTTGTATCCAGTAGAAGTTGTAACGAAAGTTCCTGGTTAAAGTTGGCTCTGGCTGCTGTTGTGTGTACTTGTCACTTCCTATTGCAGTGTTTGCTGATTCGTTTTCATGTAAAAAATGAAGAAGAGTATCAGTTAAAAAATATAAAGTTCAATTTTATTATTTTTGTTTTGAGTCAATTCAGCTGAGCTATTAATTTATTAGCTAGTGAGAATGAATCGGCATTTCTTAAAAATATATCGTAGAAGATTTTTCAATAAAATGAAGGAATTTGAATTTAGTAAGAATGCAACTTTTATTAATTGGAATCAATAAATTGTGAAGATACCTAGGTGAGGTAGGTCACAGTATATAGAGCAAAAAATAATAAGAGTCGCACAATATAAAATATACAATTATTGGTATGTTTGAAAAGTACCTCATTTTAAATTCGGAAAAAAAATTGTATATAGGTATCTACTATAAAGTATCCATTACATATTGTATAATTCTAAAAAAATACTAATAACACTATTTATTTCAATCTTCTTAATATTCACATATTTTATCTAGTTACTGAAATTGTATAGAAAATGATAAAAGTTAGGTTAAGATTTTTAATTTTTCCTAGGAAACATTAGGTTACCCGCATTATTTTGGAAATTTATTTCACAAATTGGGTACTTTTAAGTAATAATATATACTCTTAAAATTTGGCAAAGTATTTAAGAATAAAATACAAAAAGAAGTTTTTACTTGTAAAGAAATAAAATTGTAAATGTATTCCTTACCTGCGACTAACTTTATCCTGACAATCTGGATCAGCACAAGGACGAATTCGCACCATAAGTATATATGTTTAAAGCTTTAAAAATTATCTTCGAAAAACTAACCTAATAAAACAAATCAACCATTACCATTATTGCCATTAATAGCGTTTTTTTAGCTGTTGAAAGTTTTAAATAACAACTTGCGTACACTTGCGTTACTCTGAACCTGCTCTGAATACACTCTGAATCTGCTCGACGAATGCAACAAGCAAACTTTGTGTAAGTAGCGCCATCTATGGGTGGTGCACAGTACTACAACACGAGTAAGCATTTCCCTATTAAAGATCCCCTAGCCTGTGTATTACTCGGGCCCGTATTTATAAACAGAACTTATGTGAGTCGGACTTCAATGAACTGGAGTGGGGTAGAATTAGGCATTCCAACGACCTGTCCAAATGGCTACCAGTGGGTACTGACAGTTTAGATATGGCAACCCTGTTGTCATATTGTCATTAACAGGGTCAATGATACATATATGTTATATACATTGCTCAAAGCTGGTCGTTTGCGAGCAGCCATATTGCCTGGCAAATATTTATTAATTTGAATCAGTTTAGCAAAAATGTGTTTTAAAACCAATTTTCAGACTTTAGATATTTAAAAAATAATAATTGCTTATATTTTTACTTCAAGGCATAAGCTTATGTTTATTTCAAAAAATAGGGATGATCAATCTATGTAACTATCTATTTCACTCACCTTGTCAAATCACCAGGCCTACAGAGTTGCCATAACTTTGCCACATTATAACCTGTCAAAACCCACTGGTAGTCATTCAGTTTGGAATGCCTAATGCTTGTCAATAGGCTTGGCATGCGACTCTATGGGCAAATACAGGTTATTTTTCATCTCACTCGGGAGTATTTATAACAACCATTTTCTATTTCACTTTGTTATTGTCTGATCCACCAGCATGTGGATTGAACAATAACAAAGTGAAACAGAAAATGGTTATTATAAATACTCCCAAGTGAGATGAGAAATAAAAATGGCTGCGCCCATAGAGTCGCATATTGTTCTATTGATACAATATGCACATTGGCTTTGTACCCCACTCCAGTTCATTGGTCGGACTTGGGTAAGTCGTCCTTGAACTAAAATCGAAGTTCGGTTACAACGCCTCTAAAGTTCTAGGTGGTTCTGGTGTTTAACTGGAATTTAGAGATGGATATTATTAAATATGTAACTGTTATGTACATTTACGGATTTGTTACTGCCCATCTCTAAATTCACGCGATATAACCGAACTTCGATTTTCGTTCAAGGACGACTTACCCAAGTCCGACTCAGCTGAGTTTTGGGCCCGTATATAAACAAAGCTCAGCTGAGTCGGACTTGGGTAAGTCGTCCTTGAACTAAAATCGAAGTTCGGTTATATCGCGTGAATTTAGAGATGGGTAGTAACAAATCTGTAAATGAACATAACAGTTACATATTTTCTAATATCCATCTCTAAATTCCAGTCAAACACCAGAACCACCTAGAACTTTAAAGACGTTGTAACCGAACTTCGATTTTAGTTCAAGGATGACTTACACAAGTCCGACTCACGTAAGTTCTGTTTATAAATTCGGGCCTTGTTTATAAATACGGGCCTCGGAGGGTCAAATTGTAAAATTGTTCGTAGTAACTCATGTACACATATTCAAAAAAAGAAGAAAAGAAGAGAGAATAGTGACATGTGACAAACGACGTGTAATTTTTATTTTTGATTTTTGACAAACTTTATTTTTAGGTTAAAAGTTCTAAGTTCATTTTTTCAGGTCAAAGTCCACTTTTAAATAATTTTTTTTTAATAATTGGACTGCTGATCGGGGTTTGAGAGTAGTAATTTGGTTTCAGCCTCAGTAAAATGTCATCGCTACGGCTTTTTGGAGCTCTTTCTAAAACAACAAAATTCGTTCAAATCCATAGCAATTGTAAGTATTTGCAGTTTTAATTTTTTTTCTTGTATTCTGCAATATTACCGGTTTTATAACATTTTTTAAACTGGGATAAAATTTTGATAAACGTTTTTTTTATTTCAGTCCAGGCAAGATGTATGTCATCTTTAGAACTAAAACATTTCAAATTGAAAGTTGTAGACAATGTAGGCGTTATAACGATAGATTCGCCTGGTGTAAAGGTTAGTACAAATTTCCTGAACTATTTTCCAAATTTGGTGCTACAATAAATGACCTCAAAATTGTCAGAATTTTAATATATATGAGTAATCCTGTTTTCCATGGACTTTACATATTTGGTAATGACAGGTGTCACTTTTTATTAATTTTAATTTTAAACTACATTTAATATGACTACCCTTAATGTTGGAAGTTCAATAAACATTAAGAGGAGCAATGGAGTGGTGCAGGGTGCAGTAGTATCAGAAATAGATTATGATTCAAATTGTGCCAAGGTAGAGTGGTTCGAAAATGGAGAAACCAAAGGCAAGGAGGTCCACTTTTCTAATATCACTTCGCTTAACCCTGATATACAAATAGTAAAAGCTGTTAAAAGAGATAACTATAGTGCTGATTGCTTTCAAAAAGTGGATGACAATATGGTTAATAAAAATAAAAGAAGACTTTCTTCAGCTGGTAAGGACTACCGCATTCATTCTGCCAAACCTAGGCTTACACAAGATAATGTTACTAATGATCAACTCTCTGTAATGAGTGACATGGGGGCTGAATCAAGAAAAAGTGCTAATGCTAAGACAACACGTTCTGCTGTGGAAAGGGTTGGTAAAATTAAAGAAACATCAACTATAAAGAAACTCAATAAACTTGAAAGAGATAGAATTGAAAGAAGAAAAAAACATGCTGAAGTGAAAGCAGAAAAAGAAGAATTTCTCAAAAAGAATCAGGGCAATCCACACTGGGAACTATTAAACATGATAACTAATTATCAAAATAGGATAGAATTTAGGCCTTTATCAAGCAAGGATAGAATTGAAGATCATTTAATAACAGTAGCTGTTAGGAAGAGACCTTTAAATAATGCTGATATGCTTAAAAAAGAAATTGATATCGTAACAATTCCTAGTAAAAATCAAATAATACTTCATGAGCCAAAATTCAAGGTAGATCTCACTAAATATCTTGAAAATCACATTTTTACTTTTGATTATACATTTAATGAAGAATGTAATAATGAAATTGTTTATAAATACACTGCTCAACCATTATTAAAAACAATTTTTGAAGGAGGCTTTGCTACTTGTTTTGCTTATGGCCAGACTGGTTCTGGTAAAACTTTCACCATGAGTGGTAATTTTAATGATCCTAAAGATAAAGGAATTTATGCACTGACAGCTGCAGATATTTTCAATGAAGTTAATTCTCCAAATTATCGTCGATTAGATTTAGCAGTATCCTGCAGCTTTTTTGAAATATATGTTAAAAAAGTATCTGATTTGTTGAATAACAAAAAATCTTTAAAAATTCTAGAAGATGGAAAACAACAAGTACAGATAGTTGGTTTAACAGAACGAGCAGTATCTTCTGTTAATGAAGTCTTACAGTTAATAAAAATGGGCAGTGAAGAGAGAGCTTCAGGACAAACATCAGCAAATTCCAATTCTTCAAGATCACATGCTGTATTCCAAATATACTTAAGAAGTAACAATAATTTAAAAAAAGTTCATGGAAAATTTTCTCTCATTGATTTGGCTGGTAATGAAAGAGGAGCTGACACTTTTTCTTCATCGAAAATAACCAGAATTGAAGGATCAGAAATTAACCAATCTCTACTATCGCTCAAAGAATGCATAAGAGCATTGGGAAGAAAAGGGGCTCACTTGCCTTTTAGAGGCTCCAAACTGACGCAGGTACTTAGAGATTCCTTCATAGGAACCAATGCAAAGACTTGCATGATTGCCATGCTCTCTCCAGGTGTAAGTTCTTGTGAAAATACTCTTAATACTTTAAGATATGCTGATAGGGTGAAAGAATTAGGAGGAGGAGATACAGCATTCAATAAATCTTCAGAAAATGATATGGTTGAAAATTCTCCAAGTTACTACAGCTTGCAGAATTCTATATTACAAAACCAGGAAAATATGAAACTAGAGATGTCACCTCCTGAACCTACACCAGTGCCAAAACCTCAAACAACTACATTAAAATCTAGAGTGGAATTCAAGATAATTAATCAACACAAAGAAGTGATCAAGAAACTACACAGAACTGCTCAGGAAGCTGAACAATTGTTGACTACAACTAAAAATGATGCTGATAAATATTCTGCAGAATGGAATGTACTTGTTGACGATGCCGTTGATTGCTTAATGAGAGCAAAGATGTGATTGTATACTACTATATTAAATTATTTATTTTTTATATATACAGTACGTTTATTTTGAGGTTAAAATTTGTAGAATCAAAATAACAAAGTAAAGATAGGTTCTCAAAAAAATATATTTTTACTATATTTGCTTTACAAAAATTATATGAGAATATTAATGTCAAAGCTCTTTATTTTTCAAATTTTGAGATATACTGGGTGGTTCGGATTTAATCTAGAGGGATTTAATAAACCAGCAGAGATTGTTTTAAATGGGAAGAGAGTTTGGCATTTTAGGGATTATGTGAGATATACTAATTCATTTAAAATAACAGTTGGATATTCTCAAAGTTACTTTTAATTTAAAAATAGGAAAATTTGTTGTTTCCTTTAGAAATAATTCAACTCAATGATATTACCTTATTAGATTTTCATGTTTTTTAAAAATTCACACCTCCACCTTTTTCGGATTTTTGTTTGTCAGTATTTGTAGATTTATTCTTTAAGTATATTAAAAAATGATAAGTTGAAAATGATTGTGTAAATATATACCAAAACTTTTACTATTGCCACAGGTATAACAAGTTTGACTTCAGGGACGTTAACAGGGCCATATTGAAAAAGGTACATAATAAAAATCTGACCTATTAAGCGGAACTCGTTACCTACTAAAAATTGTCAACGTTTTTTCTATTTTTGAAAGTAAAAGTGCTGTAATAAAAATAAACTAAAATTACAGAATTCTGTTTTTACCAGTATTATAATTCACTAAACTAGTCTATAAAATATCAACTCTTTTCCCATTTAATTGGCTGTTAAAGGTCTGTTCGAGTTCTTCAAAAAAAAAAACTATCAGACAACTAGTTGACCAATGGACAGTTTAATAGTTGAACGCAACGTATAATTTGGAATTCAACTGTTCCACTGATTCTCGGGATGTTCTCAAGTTTTAAAGAAACCCCATATCTATTGATTTATCCAGACCACCCAATATGTTTTGTCACAATAAAACCTTGTATCTCAATTTTTGTGTATATTTGACTTTTTGATAGAAATTTACAAAAAATGTTATTATTATACACATTATACACATATTATACACATATTTTACACATTAATTTTTCTTTTGCAAAGATTTTTACCTTTTCCAGAATTATAAATATGTACTGCAATTGGTTTTTCCTGTTTTGTAGCTTTAAATATAAATAATGCTATTTTTTATATTGAAATTCTAATTACAAAATAACATTCACTAAAATTATAATAAATCTTTAGGTTTAATTGGTTTAATAACAATTTTTATACATCTAGTATCTTCAAAAAAATTTAGTTAAAAATAATCCAAAATATGAAATTTCGTGAAAAAAATATAAATTTTATAATTGAAACTAAATTAAATTTAAAAATTGTGTAAATTTTAAAAATCTAATGCACCTAACATTCCTGTAGGAACATGTTTTAAACAAAGCTATTTTTTTTTAATGGATGAACAAACCTAATGTCATTATGTTTTTTCCATGTCTTTACTCTGATATTTTTATCACCTTACAGGGCTAATACATCAATTTATGTTATTGATTATACCTCTTAAATTGAAAATATTTTTCTAAATGAAAGTAAATGACCAATGAAGACATTTTATGCAGTTTATTTTCGTATTTCCACAAACAAACCTCCATATCCTTGACTTGTCCTTTGTTCCCAATCACTAACAGGTAAGATAAGAATAATACATTTTTAATTTTTTCGCTGGTAACTTGTTTTTTGAAATACTTAAATGCATGGTATCAGATAAGCAAATCTATTTACCACAGTGCACTATAATTTCAGGAAGTCTGAACTTGATAATATTCATGTAAAAGGTCTTTATAAAAACATTACATATTCCTTAAACTAAAATAAGTGGATTTAAGTAAACTTACCTCAGTACAAAGTCGATCTTTTTCAATAATTTATTTATTATACGGGAAACCCCCATTATATGTATAAAAAAAATATATACAATAAAAAAATATACAATGTCTACCCAAATATTTACATACTATAATAATACAAATATTTACATACTACAATAATACAAACCTATTAAGGTACCATTTCGGTAGGCGCGACAGACGACCGCCGACGCGACATACGACCGCCGACGCGACCGAGAAGTGTCGCTTCACATCTAAAATACATACAATTATATAATACACATTTCGCACGTCGCGACACGAGAAGTGTCGTCAGACGACACTTCTGAATCTGACTCGGGGTAAAGGTATGAAGACTAGAGAGATAAGGAGGCGAATCGGCCTTGGTCAAATTCCAAATTTCCGTCCCTATTTTTATGGAGTTCCAAAAAACTACTGTAGTTGACGGGTGGCAAAATAACGACGTCTATTTTCTATGCAAGTCAATGGGAATTAAAGTTATTTTTGTAAAATTTTGTGAAAAGAATAAAAATAAGCTGAAATAAAGAACCTGACTACAAGTAACAATGAGTAACAAAAAACGACAAAGCAGGATTTTCTTCGTGTCGGGTTGCAAAACAGGATATAAATCCGATATAAAATTAAAAAAATCACAAGGAGATAAAAATCCAAGCCTTTTTAAAGCTCCTAGTGTAAGTAAAATATTGTATTTATTTCTAAATAATATATATTTATTGTAAAATAGTCACAACCCGTATCTTACGGAGTATAGTTTATTTAATTACAAAATTCTATAATAAAAAATAATAAAGTCATAAATCCTGACTTACAAACAACAATAATTACACATTAAATTTAACTTACTAGAAAAGAAAATTTGCTTTTTTTTTGTTTTTTGATGTTGAAGAGTTACTACTGTTATTTTTCTTTATTGAACTCCAATTTAGTCATTGCAAATATTTTTTATAGGATCCTAAATGTTTAGAACAATGGCAGCATGTGATTCCTAGGGCTTATAAAGTACTGTCTAGTTATGATTCTGTTTGCGAGCTACACTTTTTAGAAGATGATATTTTAAAATTTGATGAGACTATTTTAACTAATGGTACTGTTAACAAAATAAAAAGGGGACAGCTGAAATTAAAGGATGAGGTAATACCATGTACATTCCCAAATCTCCCTTTATACATGTATTACAACAATAAAAAATCTGTTAACTGTGTTTTATTTTACTCTTAAAACTATATATTGGTTCAATTCAAAAAAAAAAATTGCCACAAAATTGTATTTATCAAATTTCAGCAATTAAGAAACCTTTTCGAATTTGGTCATACATACCAAAATTGTATTTTATATAGATAAAATTAAATAATTTATCAATTAAAACATGCAAGACTTATTTAGAAATAAATACAACAGTATGTTCTGTGCTTTATTTAGCTGTAAACAAGTTTATTTTTATTATTTTGACAAAATTATGTATAATTCCCATAAGAAGCCATGTATTTTGAACTACGTAAACCGTACCAGCGCCCATGCGGTTAATTATAAAAGCTCAATTGACTTGTGATTTTTGGGACCGTATTTTGAGCATGCCGATTCGCCTCCTTACCTCTAGTCTTCCTGGGCAAAGGTTTGCTACCTATCGCACTCGAGGTCACTGTCCTCGAGCATCGCTTGGAGGTGAATAGGTTGAAAATTTATTTCGATCTAGGCAGTGTTGCCAGATTTTGGAACAGTATGGGTAAAAAAAAAACCGTAGATCTGAACAGTAGATTTTAATACAGGGGGAAATAATTAAAATTTGCAGTGTAGTAAATAAAAAAACAAGTATATAAAAAACGAAAAATAAACTTTTTTCGACACAAATTAGAAGGTAAACAAAGAATAAAAACAAATAATAACATTTTTAATATATACTTAACGTACGGAAAAAAAAACAATGAAAAATAATAGGTACCTACTTCTTTTAGATCAGTCTGAATCAGATAATTCAAAATCGTAGTGTGCATGTTCTTTTTATGATACCCTATTAATTCTTTGTTTCATTTTAAATAAAAACAATGATTATCTTGATGTTTTTTTTTTATGGAGCCAACCTAGAGTAGTGGATGCTTATTACGCTGCTTTTACTGCAGAAAATTTACTAGAGAAAATATTCTTTAACCATTTGCTGAAGAATGAGGCAAACTTAATAAATTAAGAACTAAATTTGCTAGAGACAAAAACAGTGGATCTACGTGAAAACAGTAGGTCTGGCAACGCTGATCGTTCCCTCGAACGATTATCCTGTAAGTGTCGCGCGACACTTCCCAAGCTTGTGAAATGTACAATGTACATTTATGCATCTGTCGTCCTACTCGACCTTGGGGTCGCCTCAGTGGTCGCTTGTCTCCTGACGCGCCTACCCAAATGGTACCTTTAGCGATTCAAACTAAGTAATAAGCCCTCTGAGGGAAATTTGTAGAAGGTCCCTATAAGTAGGATATCGTTCAGTGTTGTCAGAAGTAGCAAAATTACGCTGCGTCGTCGGATTTTGGCCCTTGAAGAAATGGATAAGACCTTTTATTTAAGAATCAAAATTTGTGGCTAGTAATATATAATAATATTCTATATTTATGGATTCGTTTTTTATAAAACCGATTTATTATATTGATTTTTTTAAAATTTCAGTTCATTTATTAATTTTGTTTTAAAATCAGTTCAACATTTGGCAACATTGGCTTTCCTGTTAATTGTTTTAATTTGTATCAATGCCACATACTTTGATTACTATACGGGGCAAGAGAGAGGTCCGACACGCCCAACATAGGCCATTTTGATTCCTATGACACAGTTTATAGCTAAAGAATCAGATCGCTCACTCTGCGTCGGCTCTTTTGATCTCAATGTTCCAGTTTATACACTGCGCAACTCAGATAATACAATGTATGACAACCGCCTATAATAAAACAGCAGTCTTCTGCGTATCCTGAATTTGTATCCCTGAAGTGGATGCTATTTTGGAACTTTCAACTTGTCCGAGTGAGCTAACTGATTCTTTAACAATAAACTGTGACTCCAAAAATAATATTCACTGACAGCAGCAAGCAAAATATCAGGTGCG